TTCGCCACCACGGCCCTAAATGAATTCTTCTGCCTCTTCTGTGAAATGTAAGGTTTTGTGTTTGATATTAATTTCTAGACAGAGGGCCCAAATTTAATTTAACTTCAATATGTCAATAGCAAAGTATTAATATATTAAAGATGCATGTTGGGTAATTGTGAGTGGAGAAGAAGGTGCTGTAGCTGAACATATGCTAATTATATCCAACAGATTTGTATACTCTTTGACTCCATTTTCCTGTTTATAGTTTAATTTATAGTTTGATTCTCTTGCACTTCAGGATGTCTACACCGCCTCTAGCAGGGCCAGGATTGCCTTCTGGTCCATTTTCTGGGCCTCAGGGTCAGGCTGCACGAGAAGTGAACACAGCTTCGTTGTGTCGCATTGGTCAAGAGACTGTGCAGGACATTGTATTCCGCACTATGGAAATCTTCCAGCTGTTAAGAAATATGCAAGTAAGGAATCACCTGTCTGAATAATGCTATCCTATTCTCATCTCTTGTAGAAAACCTGAACTAAATTTTTAAAAAGTGCACAGTAAGAAACATTTAAGCTAAAGACATCTTTGGAATTCAGAAAATGAAGTTTTTGCCTCCTACATATTTTCATTTAAAAAAAAAACCTGCTTTAACGATTTATCTGCCTTTCTCCCTAGATAATTTACTTTTAAAATTGGAGAATCTTAGCTTCACTGAGAATATGGTAAAGGAGGCAGATAATTCTTTTCTAATTAATCTGCCTTTTGGAGAGTATTCGTTTTGAGTTCAAGATTTTTTTTTTTAAGAATGTGCTGCTATAAAGAAAACAGACCAATTGCATGACTTTTTTTTTCCTTAATGTAAAATATAACCTTCTTGCTTCTGCTTATTTGCATGTACCTTGATGGCAGCTGGTAAATGTCACTCTTTATTATTCCATAGTTGATGGATTTTGTAGGATTTTCCCATATTCACTTTTATTTCCTCTAGGAAATTCCTCCCCAGTTTTTTATATTTAAATTTTAAAATAATTCCCCTAACTTTTATTGTTTTATTTTGATTGCTTAGGATTATTTTTTTTAATATACAGTAATTCATATTTCCACTGAATCTGTAGAAAATGTCTATGTATTCAGACAGCATTCTTCTGTTAGCAATCTAGAGTTTTTACATGGACTTTTAAAAACATAGTTTACAGTCCCTTTCGTCCTAAAAAAAATATAATTTTCCAGTTGCAGAATAATACCCTTTATTCAAAATTTGAGGAAAAAATTATCAAAGAAAATTGTTTTGGCATGCCCCTTGAGTTTAGCCTGTTTATATATGTTCCGCTGATCTCAATCAAATTCTCTTAATGCAGAAATTATGAAGCTGAAGGCTGTGGCCCCTTCCACTTTTCAGGACTTTGTGAGCAAACCTAAGGGGAATCACAAATTTGGGGATACTTTTGCATACAAAGTAGCATTGATGTCAGAACTTGCTCACAATATGGTAACAAGATCAGAATTTTCTTTAACTCTTGTTATAAGGCAGAAATATTGATCCAGAATGAATATGAAAATTGGCAGTGGTCATGCTAAAAATGGAATCCCAGACTTTAGGAAGGATGCAAAATTATGCAATCACTCATGTCCCATTAAAATGTGCTTTTAAATGTGATTGTTTTATTATTACACTGTTTCAGTAACAAAACTATCTTGCTATGCTATTACATACTACATTTGGCATTACAGCAAGCGGTCACAATCAACTCCCAAGGAGCAATGGGACCACCCATAATTGTTGTTATTTGTTTGTTTGTTTATTCAGTTTCTATAGCCGCCCATCTCAGTCAAGTGAGAGTACATAATTCTTAATTCTATTATCTAAAGTAGTATTTATTAAATTATTTTCATAAAATAACTGAGTGTTAAGGAACACTGATGGCGTCAGTGAACTGATGAGCTTGAGGACCCCTGTATTAGAGGCTTCTGGGTCCCATTTCTAGGAAACAGGAGCGGGAGCACGCTAATAATAGAAGTCCTACCTGCAGACTTACTATCAGCCTTATTTTATTTTTTTTTATTTATTTTTTTTAAAGAAAATTTTATTAATTTTTATAATTAAACAATAAGTAATATGATGCATTTATAACACAAACATACACAAAAAAAACAATCCAATTCAATACATTATCAGAAACGCTCAGAGGTTCCCGACCTGCCTCCGCCCTCATCCACTTACCTTTCCTTCCTACCTCTAACCCACAACCTCTCCTCCTTCCTCCTTCCCCTCTCATCCCCCCTCTTCCTGACCACCTCAACGAGTGCAAGCCGGGATACCAACCGAGCGCTTCCTCTTATCAATACAATTATAACATATGAATACATCACTTTTTGTTTCAATACTTCTAACCCCCTTCCCCCCCTGAGCTTCCCGGAATCAAATACAGGACTTAAAACAAATCTTTCCAAATCTAACTTACAATTTAACTANAACACCATGTGGTTCTAGGGCAGCTGACCAAGTGGGATTGGGATAGGTGAGTTTTTATACATTCTTTTGGGTTGTTTTTGGAATGCTCCAGGGGGTTGTGCATTGAGGTGGGCTTTTGTGTTCTAAGAGTGTTGGGCAACTTCTCTTGTAGCTGATGGCTAAGTCCTGTGTTGGATTTCTTGGGGTGAGGGGTTGCTGGATCTAATCTTATCACTCTGCTATTGTCAGCTGTCAAATCTTGCTGCAAAGGATTTCAAAATATTTTGTCTTGAATGGATTTCTGCCCTGTAGTATTTGTTTGCTCATGAATGGAGCCTCAATCTTTCTGAATAAATTACTGAGTTTGCATTTCTAAAAGGTAATTTCCTGAGTTTCTACTTGGGGCAGGGAGACTGGGGGCTGGTTTCTGTCAAAGATTTTTCTATTACCAGTATTACTTTGGGAAATATAATATTCTACCTTTTTTTTAAATATCCCCCCAAATATTTCCTTCTCTAGGATGGTGGGTGGGTGCTTATATTGTATTGTGTTTCACAGAATCCAAGGCAATATTTCTTGTCTCAACCAACTGAAAGAATGTACCTAATTGAAATATTTTTCATCCCGAGTATATCTTAAAACTGTGGTATCTCGTCAACTAAATGGACTCGAATTCATCTCCTATCTGGAACCTTTTATGCATCTCATTCAGTATATGACCATCAGTTTAAAGTAATATTTCTCAACTCCAGGTGCTTTAAGATGGATGGACTTCAATTCCCAGAAGTCCCTAGTCAGCCTGGCTGGGGAATTCTGGGAGTTGAAGTCCACCCATCTTAAAGCACCTGGAGTTGAGAAGCACTGAATTAAAGGCAACCAGCATTAAACCTGCTTTATAGCCCCCCCTCCCCCGTTTTTCAGCTTCTAATCCAGCCTCTAAAAACCCTGCATTTTACGTAGACGCTATAGAACAAACAAAAAAAAGATATATTTTTTTCCTGATTTTGCGCTCTTCTTGGCCATAGAGGGAGAACGGCTACACAGGAGGAGGAGGAAAAAGATGAAAGGGAAACCGTTTACATTATATTGGCTGGAGACAATGGGGAATGTAGTCCTCCCGATCAAAACACAATTGAAACAGCCAGGAAAGTAACGGGGGAGGGCCGCGCGGGCCATTTTCTCCCGAGGAGGGCGGAGGTCTGAGAAGGAGTGCCTGTACTGGGGGGAAAAAAATGGCTGCGCCCTGCCGATTCACAGATGGCATCCATTGCTCCGAGTCCGTACCGCGTGACGTCATCACGTCCCGCCGTTCGACGTCCAACGCCGGTTTGCGCGCTGGGAGGAGGTCGACGCCGTCGGGGAGAGTCGACCGCCCTGGACGGGACATAAAAGGCCGGCGTTAATGTGACAACGACCGCTAGGTACCATCGTGGCTATCGCCTTCTTCCCCTCCCCCGAGCCCCTCCAGAGACAGTTGGACTACATCCTTTACCAACCCCAGTTCAGTGGCTGGGAATGATGGGCCCCGTAGTCCAGTGTCCCTGCAAGTTGTCGGGTGAAGGAAGGCTGAGATTATAAATGATGCAAATGTTATAAAGACCCGTTTTTGTGCCTGAGGTCGGGGATGTTTGGCAGGCTGCCCCAAAAGATGGCTGATTTCATTTCTGGGAATTTGGGGTTTTTTTTAAAAAAAGGAAACTGCTAGACTTGATGAGCAGAGATGTTTCCCTTTGGAGCTGAGAGTAAATTAAGGGTCCTGTCTTTAAGTATTTTGTCCTGGGAATGCCGCCTGAAATTGTGGGTGCTCCAGCCTGGAGAGCCATTTCTCCAGAATGGAAGATTCCTGCCCCGAATAAGGCGGGCGGAAGGGGGTGGGGGTGGACTAGAAGTCCTTCAAGGTCCCTTTCAGCCCTGGGTGTATAGGGATATAAAGGAAGCAGATTCAAGAATAGGTTTCAAACAAAGCAGATGCTTTAGGAAACAAGACGTTCTGGAAAGTCAGCTCCCCAAACCTTCAAAACGAAAAGGTGTTGGTTCTTCTGAATTGGCTTTGGGTCTTCAAGCAGCCTAGTCCAGCAGTTGGTTTATATAGGAAAGGGCAAAGATAGATTGCTGCTCCAAGCTAGGATATGCAAAAGGGACCTATGCAAAAGTGGCCTAGAGAAAAAGAAAGAGCTTTCTAAATCAGAAACAAAAGCAATGTATAAAGTGTGCAACTGTAAAGAGGGCTCATCTGAATGTTTAAGCAGAAACTGGACCCCTCTCTATCTAGGAGTCTTTAATTTGGTCTTGTGCACTGAGCAGTGACATGCCCTAAATCAGTGATGGCGAACCTTTTAGAGACCAAGTGCCCAAACTGCAACCCAAAACCCACTTATGCATCATCGAGTGCCGGGTGGGCGTGGCCAATTGGGTGGGCGTGGCTGCAGTGGTAATTGCAGACTGGGTGGGACTAAAAGGTTCAATCAATCAATTCCAACTTTGCAAGATCTTTTTTTTTCCCCACGAGAAGTTGAAATTGATTGATTGAACCTTTTTTTTTTTGCACACAGCAGCGGAGGCCTAAAGTGAAAAGGTTTTATAAAACCCAGCTGAAGGCCTAGGACTGGGGCGATGGCGTGCGTGCCCACAGAGAGGGCTCTGAGTGCCGCCTCTGGCACCCGTGCCATAGGTTCGCCACCACGGCCCTAAATGAATTCTTCTGCCTCTTCTGTGAAATGTAAGGTTTTGTGTTTGATATTAATTTCTAGACAGAGGGCCCAAATTTAATTTAACTTCAATATGTCAATAGCAAAGTATTAATATATTAAAGATGCATGTTGGGTAATTGTGAGTGGAGAAGAAGGTGCTGTAGCTGAACATATGCTAATT